TAAGTTTCTCATATGATGTCCGATGAAAATAAATTTTATATCAAAGTTGTAGTACTCGACGAGATCTACAACTTTGTAGTTTAAACTTTTTTAATTTAAGATCGTTCAGATGTCCAAATATTTTCATTTCAAATCATCTATCTAACAAAAATTACGTTTATTTTTAAAATTTAAAATTTAAATTTTTTAAACGATCTTGGATGGAGAAATGTCCAAAACGAAAGTTGTAGATCTCGAAAAGTTATGCAACTTTGTAGTTGACAACTTTTTAATTTCAAATCATTTACTACTTTAAAATTCTATTTGAAATTGTTGAAGAACTATGATTTCTCTTTTTAATCTCTGGCTAAAACTTGTAACTAGTCTATCTTCCACATACTAACTTCAAATTTGATGATTTTTTTTCTAAAAATTTCTAAAATCATGCTCTATCAATTTATTATGTTCTTATAGCTATTATTTTATCCATCTTTTCATGTGACTGTGTTTTATCTATTTGAATTTCAAAAAATATCAACTTCAAACGTCATTTAGGAATACTAAACGATTTCAGCTAAAAGAGTTTTGAACATAGAAGTTGTAGAATTTATCAAGATCTACAACTTTTATTTTGATAATTTCTTCATCCGATAAAGTGGTAGTAACATTATTAACAAAATTTACATATCTCTCTTGTAGTTTCATAAACTATTCATAAACTATAAAAGGGATATGTAATATTTGTGAATAATATCACTACCACTATTTAGGATGAATAAATGATCAAATGACAAAAATAAAAATTGTAGATCTCGGAAAGTTATGAAACTCTGTAATTGACAACTTTTTGATTTGAAATCATCTTGTAAGGAAAATGAAAGTTGTAAACGACCTCGGATGAAGAAATTACCAAAATAAAAGTTATAGATCCCAAAAAGTTATGAAACTTTTTTGTTGACAACTTTTGAGTTGAAATCATCTTGTCAAGAAAAACTACGTTTGAATTTTTCAAAATTTGAATTTTAAATTTTTAAAATGACCTCGGATGGATAAACAGCAAAAAACAAAAGTTGTAGATCTCAAAAAAAAAGTTATGAAACTTTATAGTTGATAATGTTTTATTTGAAATCATCTTGTCATAAAAACTACCTTTGAATTTCTCAAATTTGAAATTCAAATTTTGTAAGTTCGGATGGAGAAATTACCAAAATAAAAGTTGTAGATCTCGAAAAATTATAAAACTTTGTAGTTGATAACTTTTCATTTGAATTCGTTTAGGGTCCTAAATACTCATTTTAAAATCAGATGAACATAAAATGGTTAGGGACGAAAATCTCATTCGGACACAAACGACTTGCAGATGTAGTGGTTAGGGGCCAAAGACACAAAGTAGGAGGTCAGGGTTCGAGCACTGGTGGCTGCGTAGCGAGCATTTTTTACGCGAAAAATCTTGTGACCTGTGACTTGCGATGCGCGACCGTATGGCTGTCCATTGGAGCCTCTCTCAGAATTAAAAAAAATCTTGTGACTTGTGTAGTTTGGCTTCATAAATATTTATATTTTTTTATGAATTTAGTTAAATATAAAAATTGACTTAAGACGACTCTTATAATTGATGTATTTAATGGACAGAGGAAGCATATTTAATACAGACACTTGGCACCGTAAAGCATGCACAGGGACAGGGACCATTTGCCAAGGATCCTCACAAATTTAAAAGGCTATCCATGGAACACGAGGGTATCCGAGCGGGCCGAGGAAAGGCCAAAGGCCTGTTTGTTCACTTCTACTAAACTTAGCTATTAAATTTTAGTCACTTTAGTTAGTAAACTACTAAATAGACTGACTAAAAAGGGATTAAAGTAGTTTAGTCATATTAGTTACCCAAGAATAGCTAAAAATAGGCTAAAGTGCTTAGTGGATAAGGGTTGTCCTCATTATTGCTGACCCCCACCCTGATTTGGGTATTTTATTAGAGGTAGTTTGATCTTTGTTGAACTGTTTTAATAGCCTTTAGTCACTAGAACTAAATAGAGGTGACTAAAATTTAGTCATTGGTTTAGTAGCTCAATTTTAGCAGGGAACCAAACGGGCCATAATAATGGTTGGTCGGAAGAATCGAATAAAGCATCCAGCCTCCATCGTGAACCAGTTACGCGATTGTGTCATTTGGGTATTTCAGTTCGTAAATCTTGTTAAGCTGCTAACTCTGTGGTGGACGATTTCCGTGCCACAAGCTGTGGCTGCGCCACACATGGGGTGGCAAATGATGGCGGTCATCCAAACAGCCTCTAACTCTTTATCTTTGTTTTTTTAATCTAATATAAAGCAAAGCACTACTGAACTACTATAAGTACTACTCATGTCTTTTAAGGGCGTACCCTAGCAGTCCGTCGGTAGCCTTGGTAGGAAACAACGCCACTCACTTTAACGAATGATCCTTCCAAAAGCCCAGCATCCGTGTTCATGACACCCCATTTCAAAAGTGGCGTGTTCCTATTATTGAAGTTGAGCGCATCTTGATATGGTGGTGTTCACGTTGAAATTAAAATAGATTATGAATGCGTGTTGTCCTGAAAAAATCAGTCTAAAAATATTACTTGGCGCGCTAGCATAGTGTCCGTGAGACGTAGAGGACTGCTCTGGGCTCGTGTTCGTAGTAGGCCAAGCTTGTTTCTATATGGAAATTGGGCTTGCTCAAGCCTAAGACCCCTGCATAACAGGTTTCCAAATGTGTGAGCTAGTTGGGCTTCATCCGTAGGGAAAAGGTCGAGAACCCCACGTTAAAATGGGCTGACAAACTTGCTCTCAGTTTTTCTCCTCGCCCAATGCTATCCTATACTAGTACTTTGCTTGTAACCATAGGAGCAAGGAGATAAGCAAACATTAACTATAAGGCTCTGTTCGGCTGCTCGTATGAGCCAGCTTATCGCCATGGTACAGTATTTTTCTCTCCCAACAAATCAGCCGTACAAATCAGCATAAATCAGCGTGTTCCTATTATTGAAGTTGAACAGACTATTCGTCTATTGGATATTTGGATTGCAATGAGAGACATAGGTTAAAGTACAATATATGATTCGGAGGATCAAAAATCATGTGAAAATAACGTGATAATAAACAAACAGACCATTTCAGTTATTTGTTCTAATTTGCTGGAAAGACATACATGCAAGAATTCCGCTAGAAGATTTTCTCTATATAACGAAATCAGGGCCAAGCTCTGCCCTCTCATTGGGCCACGTTGCCCGTTTTTTTTATCCTCCGTTGGATATTGATCGGACCATCCACGGTGCAGCAGATAGCGATTCCAGAGCCTTCGTCTCCGGTGCGAGACAAGCTGTCGCCGCCATCCCCTTCTCGCGCTGCGCCGTGCCCACTCCCTCGGCGCTGATGCCTAGGCCCGAGCCGACGCTTCCTCTCCTGCCAGCTCGACCTCCAGGCTCCAGGCCAAGGACCTGATCCACGCCACGTGCGACGCCAGCTCCGACTCCAATCGTCCCTCCCTGCGCCGCACCGCCTCAATCGCCTGTTTTTCCACCATCTTGCGCCTCCACAGGGCACAGGCCATGTCACAGCAGGCGAGCCGGGATCCGATATCCCCTCCTCACACTGCGCCCGCTCCTCACCGGGAACACACGCAACTGCAGCAGGCGATGACAGCGCAGGCTAGGGCCAAGGCCGAGCAGGGAGAGGAGGACGCGGCCGCCGGCGCTGCGGACGATGCCGGGTAGTGCTTCGTGCCCCGCCCCTGCTGTTGCTGGCGCTCCGCTCCCTAGGCCATGCCGGCGGCAGGCTGCCTTCGTGGTGCCGCTCCCGTGCTCCAATGTATGCAATAGCATGCGCTCCACCTGTTTGCTCAAATGCCTGTGGGAGATGGAAATCAGTTTTGGCCTAGGAGTAGCGCGCCATAGAATACAGGGATCCAGCATAGACACCTCCCTGGATTCTGACTGGGCGATGCATGAAGTGCATACTGATGTAAAGGCAACATACACGTTCCACAAGCTACGATGGATGATGGTAATTACAAAAGATGCTACCTGCCCTCTTTGCCCTCTTTTTCATTTGATAAGTATTATAATACTGAATATATCATGGCCAATAAACTTTCTTCAAGCATGGATATAACTACATAAAAAATTAGAAATGATAAGCATGGCGTGAATTTGAATTGAACTTGCTCCTAGGCTCCTACCCCGTTTATTAAACAAAACAAAAATTACAGTCAATATACATGTCACTTTAGTTTGGTTTAGTTCTGCAATGTGAGCATTAACCTTTATGTATGATGTAGGAGATATTGATTTCCGAAAAAAATGACTAATACTACCATGTTCCCTGTGCTCATCAAAGATTTTCAAGTACTCTAGACTGCTCATTAAGGCATGCAACCCTTGCCATTACCGGCTGTATGCCATATGCACTAGTACCTATGCCTACTTTAATATCGTTGTAAAAATCTCATCTGCAAGCACAAAATCTAATATTACCTTAAAAAAATATTTTACCCATTAACTAATGCCAGTTATAGATTATAGATTGCTATGTAGTAGTGAATGGGAAATTTCCAAAGCTAGAAAGATTATATACTGCTATATATGTAGTGAATGGAAAATTTCCAAAGCTAGCTCACCACTACGTCAGATATGGTTTTTAGGCGGCTAATAAGCATTTTATGCAGGCGGTTCGGTCAGCCGCTCCTATCATACCGTCTCTACAAATCATACATTTGTAGGGGCGGTTCTTAGACTGCCCCTACAAATCGATTTGTAGGTGTGGTTGGTACTGTAGCCGCCCCTACAAATCGATTTATAGGGGCGGTCTGGGAACACCAGCCGCCCCTACAAATCGATTTATAGGGACGGCTACAGTACCAACCGCCCCTACAAATCATTTTTCCGCCAAAAAAAAATTAAATTTATAATTCAAACTCGACCAGAACATATATTTTTCATGCACAACTCCATCATGACTTATCTTCTTCTGCGATTGTACTGAAACTCAATGACAATACACATTTATTTATACCAGATTATAACAAATATTCCATGACAATACACGGTGCAAATTATTGTGCTTGCTGTGAACTGCTCGCTCACACGCCTAAACATCTCCTGGATCGAGGTGGAGTTGCCGATGAATGTGGACGCCATCTTCAGGCCCTTGGGAGGGATGTCGCACACGCTCGACTTCACGTTGTTCAGGATCCACTCCACGAAGTAGGACGAGTTCTTGTTCTGCACATTCAGCATCTGCTCGTCCACCTCCTTGGTGCTCATCTTCCCACGGAACATGGCTGATGCTGTCAGGTAGCGCCCATGTCGTGGGTCAGCTGCGCACATCATGTTCTTGGTATCTCACATCTGCTGGGTCAGCTCGGGGACGGTGAGGGCACGGTACTGCTGGGATCCCCTCGATGTCAGTGGTGCAAAGCCAACCATGAAGAAATGGAGGCGAGGGAAGGGTATCAAGTTGACTGCAAGCTTCCGGAGGTCAGAGTTCAGCTGGCCTGGGAACCGCAAGCAGCAGGTAACACCACTCATGGTTGCAGAGATGAGATGGTTCAGGTCACCAACTGGCAACATAAAAAAGCATGATTCAGATTCATATCTAAATGGCAGAAACAAATGCAAGAAACAGGGCAGAGAATCATGAAATGATCATCTCAGGGCATTACATTGTAGTATTCTGTAGTACAAAGCAAACTTCAAAACAGATAGTACGGTGTCAAAATGCTAGTGAGATGCATGTGCCTGACATACACGTAAATTCAATCAAGCAGTGCATGATTGCAATAACTGTGCAGCAATGGCAGACAAGGACCATGTAATTCATTGTAGCATCACAAGACATATCCAAGAGATAGATTTGTGTCACAGGATTTCACACGAAGATGACTACAATCCACTCTTTTGCACCACGATATGAAATCAATGATCAACAAATACTAAAGTTGTGGGTGCAGTGACTGAGCAAAGTAGCAATGCAAACTTACAAGTGGGTTTAGCAAGCTTCAGAGTGCGGAAGCAGATGTCATAAAGAGCTTCATTGTCAAGGACCATACACTCATCAGCATTCTCAACAAGTTGATGAACTGAGAGTGTAGCATTGTAAGGTTCGACCACAGTATCAGACACCTTAGGTGACGGAAAAACTGAGAATGTGAGCATCATCCTATCTGGGTACTCTTCCCTGATTTTTGAGATGAGCAGGGTGCCCATCCCAGAGCCAGTACCTCCACCCAATGAATGGCAAACCTGAAATCCTGCAGAAGAAAAGGTAAAGATTATTTCAGATAGAATTTCGGAGCAGAAGCATAAATCAAACGGACAAGCAATTTTTTACACAAAATATCCAATAACCGAGATTCTAGTTGCTTTGTAGATAATAAGATGACATGAAGATGGACAAACCTAGCAAAATGCAACACCCTAACATGAACCAGAAGCAATTTATGTTATTTGTAGCGGCATGAAGGTTCTTTGAATTTTCCCACCCTATTGAGATAATAGCAGCAGAATCACAAACGAACTATTTCTGGTGATAGAAAGTAGCATTTATGAAAGCTTCAAGTAACCAAAACAGAGTAAAAAACACCTACTTTATACTGGCAAAGAGCTCATTTTATGAAAGCTGAAGAACAGATGCCATTGGCAAAGAATCAGAGAGGATGCCTAGTAACATTAAAAGACAACAAATTGTGTTCTCTAGGCTGATATTAAATGCATTTTGTTCCATCAAAACAAGTATTGCTTAACCAACTAAACTTTACCATCTTATAACCAAATAAACACAGTGAAATACTAACGGTCCTCTAAAAGATAATCATTCTCTTTAGGGATCACTAATAAGACAAATTCAAACACCAATTGCAGACTGACTTACCTAGCATCAAAGAATGGTTTCTCAATGTGCTTCTCTAAGAGTTTCCTAGCATGCTCCTTTACCTAAACACCAAAGACAAAACTGTTTGGAAGGGTCCAATGACAAAATTGAACAATGTGGCACATAGCATATAGGCCATCTTTTCTATGCTCACTAGCCATGTAAGTCTGTTCAGGTGATACTTAACGATCACAGAACAAAAGGATAAGCCACTTTCAATTAAAAATTAGCCCGATAAAGAATGAGTATAGACAGATTTATAGGACAAAATCAAGGCATTGCTGTACTGAACATATTGACAGTAAATTGAATGAAATAGTATCATATGGTAAACAAAGAAAACAGATTGCCAAATTCAACTTCTGTGAGCAAAGTACCTGTGATGAGAAACGCAAAAGCATTACTGTTATAATAAAGAAAGCTAACTCTTCTTGAGAACCCACCTTCACCAATGAACTAAGGAATATTGAATAATGCAATAAAACTTTTTTACCTTGTAAAGATCATCCAAAGATTTCCATCCAGTATGAATACCAAGCTCATCACCATGTATTCCAAGAAAGTAATTATCAATCTCTAGGAAGAAATCTTTGAATGAAAAAGGCCTCTTATAGGATACAGTTCTGCATCTTCTATAACCTTTCTCAATGCTTGTGGACCTAAAACATCAGTACCTGTAGGTCAAAAAAGGTGTTACAAGGGCTGATTACATAATGACAAAAAGACTACCCAAGTCGAGATTGATTTATGAAGAAAGTCTTCACCGAGTCGAGATAGTCTTTGCAGTTCCAAAGATAGTTATACTTCTTATCCTAGCTTTACAGTGAACATACACAGGCATTAGGTCACAGATTAACAAACTACTACCTGCAGAGATAGAACAACAACGAAATCAGAGCTACACATCCAAAGGGAAATCTAAAATACTGAGAACAATTCGGTGGAAAAATACGAAACCACAGTCAGATTACATCACCATACAACTAACTTGACCATATCGACGGAGGAAAAGGAGGAATCGAAGAAGAAAACACGAACCCTATCTCGTCGCCCTAGATCTGAGTCATTGCGAGGACCGCAGGGAGCAGAGCTGCGCGGGGGGCAATACGCGCGCCCAAGCTGACTAATGGTGGGGGCTCATGGGCGCCTTGGCGTCGTGGCAGAGAGGCGGCCACCACCGGGCCCGTCGGCCTGCTGCTGCATAAACGGAGGCGTCGAACACAGGCACCTAGGGTTTCGATGTTTCGTCGAGCCCAGGAGTGCACGCGAACCGGTGGGAGGAAGCCGCGTCGGGGGGTGGCGATCGTGGTAGCGGCCACTGCGGGTGCTCGGCTGGCGCGCCCGTTCGCCACCGTCCCCGCCAGCGCCGTTAAATCGGCCGGTCGCGCCATCGCCAGAGAGAGAGGGAAGGTGAAAGCAGAGACGGACGAGGGGACCAGCACGCCGCCACGTCGGGAGAGAGGGAGAAGAAGGGACGACGGGGCCGGAGGCGGCGGGAGCGGGACCGGTGGTGGGGGGGGGGTCGCGGGAGGCTCGGCCGGCGCGCCTCGTGAGAGAGCGAGAGAGGGAGCAGATGGGAGAGGTTTTTTCGATGAGAACGGGAGAGGTGGGAGATATTTGTTGTACAAGAGATTTGTAGGGACGGCTGGAGATTGAGCCACCCCTACAAATCGTAAACACGGGGCGGCGGTGGTGAGTGAGCCACCCTACAAATCGACCCTATTTATTCACGCGGCTCGTATTATCAGCCGCCCTTACTGTGCCGTTTGTAGGGGCGGCTGGTCTAGTGGCTCCCGAGCACGCCACTGTAGGGGCGGCTGCATCACCAGCCGCCCCTACAAAAAATTGGTTTCGTTGCTACATACCGTTTTTCACGTAGCGCACCTTTGGTTCACAAGTGGCAGCAGAGAAATGGCAAGCCATCTTCAAACAATGTCTCGGTATCTCTACCATATATAATACACCGTTGTAAACTTTTCTAAAGCCATATCAAAAACTGTCCATCACAGTCATGATCTCTCCTAGATGCACAAACAAAACTACGCTAAAAAACAACACACCTTTAAAACGAACGCACCAGATCTACTCTAAACTCTTCTTTCTCTTCATCACTCAAATCCAACAGCTAAATTGTTTGTATCCAACCTCATCACTCATCCAGCCCAGCTCACGCCACTCTCCCTCTCCCCCGACGCCGGGACTCCTCGATCTCTCCCCGACGCCGCGACTCTACCTCGACCCTCCCCCACGGACGCCGTGACTCCTCCTGGAGAAACCCGCGCTGCATTTACCAGACACGCGACGACTCCTCTCCCTCTCCTCTTCCCCATGCGCTGACTCCTCTTCCCCACGTGCCGACTCCTTTCCCTCTCCTCTTCCCCACAGCCAGGACGACCGCCCCGCCTGATCCTGGTGGCCGGCTGGGCCAGGTGGCTGCGGCAGCTTCCATAGGATGCGACTAGGGGCTTCAGGCGACTGGCTATGGCGGCTTCAAGGGATGCGAGCAGGGGCGAGGTGGGCAGAGGGCGCCATGGAGCGGCGGTGAGGCCCCGGTCGAACCGACGGCGGCGCGGTGGGAATGCCAATGGCCCGCCGACGTGACCAGCCTTACTTCACCGGAGAGAGCGGATTGGGTCCTATCTACAACTGAGAACATCTCCGTGCATGCCGACGGCAATGGGACCGCAAGCCCACTTCCTCCAGGGCCCCGGTACGTAATCAACAGGAAGGAGAAGGATCTGTTTTCAAAATGCAATTTTGATTCGATTCATCTTCAGGCAGACGTGTTATCGATTCTCTGAATTTCTGATTGCCATTTGTTCAGGTGGTAAGCATTTTTCCATATCACACGTACAGGATGACATTCTAGCCGAGTTTCATGCTCAGATGGATCTTCAAGCTAAAGATCTCTTGCTGCCCTTCCAGTGTTTGTGCTGCATGAAAGGGGTATGCACCGTCACCACCTTTCCTTTCCTTGTAATTGAACACAGTGTTCAGGTTTTTTTTTCTGCGTGTATGAATTTTAGGGCAAGGCAATGCAGATTGTTCATTAATTACTTGTTGCGGATGGTCAACCACGGCGCGAACTCCTCCTCGCTCTCGAACCCGCTGCCCTGCCTCGTGCGAGGGAGCCTGGGTGTCATATGGCCACTGGTATTGGTAGATACGAGTGGCGAATGATCGGTTGATTGGTTGTTTGTGTTGCAGGTGTGATGAAGTCGTAGCTGCTGCTGCAGTTCACGTACAAGCGCTTCAACCCGTGCACGACCTCAGCCCACTGCAATACATCTGATTGGTAAGATGCAATAAAAAAATTCAGATATACATGGAATACTCAGTAATGAATCAGATAAGTTTCCAATCACCTCTTGTTTTGAATAATTTTGAGATGGCTTCAAAGACGAAAATGAAATTCGACTGAATCTGCTCATGTTTGATGACTGTGAAAAATTTATCATCCTTTCTTTCCGTGCCGGTTGTTATTATTTTTACTGACAGTACGCACATAGGTGTTCTTGCTGCTGCAGCTCATGCAGCATCAAGTGGTGGCTCATTTACTCTCTACTACAATCCTCGGTGTGTAATTTATCTAGCCGTTTTACTTGTTATTTCGTTACGCTTTTCTGGTAGGCATATTTACATGCATTTGTTCTTGAAATCTCTATAGGACAAGTCTGGATCCAGAGGGTATTCCGTAGATCGCTCCGTGGGGTTGGGACTTAGCTATTGTTAACAACATAGGTTCTGTCGACTTTTACATATTGTTAAGAACAGAACGCTCCGTCAATGCTGATGGATAGTCAGCTTTTACATATTGTTCACTGACATGTGCTTAATTACTTCCCTATGTTTTCATGAACATATAGCTACTAGAATCCAACGTAGCTAAGTCAATCTTACTTAGGTACTTGAATTATGTTTATTCATCATATCATGATAGAAAGATAAATAGAGTGAAAATCGTGGTGTGATTATGATTACGCCTTCATCAATAATTCACAAAAAAATATCGAGATTACACTTGTACAAGTATATGACTTGGATATATACTATGTCAGTAGCTTTACATTGCTAAATTTTCATGTAGTGGAGTGGGATTTGCAACAAAAAGATATATGGGTGGGATCATCTTTGTTTCCTGCTCGGCTTCATAATTCAATAGATGTTGAGCCATCAACAAGCCAATGCTTCAAGTTTCGGGGACAAAAAATGATTTTAGTGTTGTGACGACATGGCCCCATTCGCCTCATTGAACAAACAAGTTGAAACAACTGTTCCACTTGATTTGTCGTGTGAGAGAAAACACCGTTCGGCTGAAAAAAAACAAGCTGAAAAGTACGGATTATAAGACAAGCGAACAGGGCGGTACCGATGAGAGCGGTACAGCATCTTGACGACACTCCATTCTTTACTGTCAACAATCTGTGTTGCCAAACTACTAGTATTTCTTCTTGAACAAAGAAGTGGTTACATAGATTGAGGAAGACAGGAAGTGTAGCACGCTTGGAAATGGCTTACACTAACCAAAGATTACACACACGGTGATATAATATCGTCGCACATTCCCGTGTCAAGCCACGAGACGAAACAACGACACAATGAGGTCCGTTCCATCTCGGTGAGTGCCAGCGCCACGGCGTTGGTCCCATGTCTCGCCACGAACCTCATCCAGTACGAGAGCTTCACCCAGATGGTGCCCATGGACTCGGCGGCACCCCTTGGTCTCCGGCAGAAGACCGCGGCGAAAACGGTCATGACGGCGACGACCAGCGGCGTAGTAGGCGAAGGTGGCGTTGAAACGGCAGAGAGCATGGCGAGGAACGATCGCGATCGCGAAGGCGAGGGCGAAGATGATGGACACGTTCATGGCCTGCCCAACGACCGGATGTCCACGGGAATATCTCGCTAGGGCGCCACCACACCGGCGGCATCCACGACGCCCGAACCTTGGCGCTGTGCGAGCATCGCCAAGCACCACCACCGCCACCACAGACTGACCGCGCCATCATCGCCTCCTCTCTCTTGCCGAAAGCTGCGCGCCCATGATCCAAGCGATGGCAGCCTTCAAGGATCAAGAGCCGTCGTGGTCGGGAACTTGTCGATTTGTTCAAGACCAATGAGTTGATGGAATAAAAAGCACTGACACGGCAAATCTGTATACGTTATTGTGTCATGCATCCATAGAGCACATTTTTAGATACCACTCCTACTCTTTAAGCTAGAGTTATATTCCTTTTAGACAACACATTAGGATGGAGCGAGTACACAACGAGTATACAACCGACTCCATTTTTTAGGGGATTATACAACCGGCTCACGGCATCGCATTCACAATGGCAGGCCAATCTCGATAAGCCCAAGTGCGCCTTGGCCCAACAAAAAAAAGAAACATGGAGGCCCCATCGAGCCAAGCCCATAGCAAATATGCCCACTAGTTGAACCCAAGTTCCTCGCGACAGTACAACTCATGAATTTTTTTTAAAATAATATTTTTAATGAATATTTGCAACTGTAGCATTGATTAAAAGGAATTGGCCTGACAGGTACCTGTCGGCCTTCTAGATGCCGGAATTTTCGGACGGGAGACGCGCGCCGATGGATCCCCGCGCGCCGTTTTCCCGCGCCGAACGATGCCAGGTGCCTATCGGCCTTCCAGAGGCCGACAGGCGCTTAGACACGGAAATTTCGGACGGGAGACGCGCGCCGATGGATTCCCGCGCGCCGTTTCCCCGCGCCGGACGGTGCCAGGTGCCTATCGGCCTTCCAGCGGCCGACAGGTGCATAGACCCGGAAATTTCGGAGGGGAGACGCGCGCCGATTGATTTCCCGCGCAAAAAATAATCTTCCTATCTTTCCTTGCCGGTTGTTATTATTTTTAATTCCTTAATTACTATTGCCCTTCATCTCTTGTGTCTTGTCAGGTCACAAGCACGGTAAAGAAAAAAAACTGAAGACCCCTAGATAACTTTTGCAGAAAGCAGTAGGAGATAAAGAATTTCATGCCACCTGACAACAATCTGCTTTGTCATCGGCCGTCCTGTCTACTGACGGTACGCACATAGGTGTTCTTGCTGCTGCAGCTCATGCAGCATCAAGTGGTGGCTCATTTACTATCTACTACAATCCTCGGTGTGTAATTTATCTAGCCGTTTTACTTGTTATTTCGTACGCTTTTCTGGTAGGCATATTTACATGCATTTGTTCTTGAAATCTCTATAGGACAAGTCTGGATCCAGAGGGTATTCCGTAGATCGCTCCGTGGGGTTGGGACTTAGCTATTGTTAACAACATAGGTTCTGTCGACTTTTACATATTGTTAAGAACAGAACGCTCCGTCAATGCTGATGGATAGTCAGCTTTTACATATTGTTCACTGACATGTGCTTAATTA